GAAGAACTGAACGGGTTCTGATGAGAACAGTGTAAGCGTTCAAGCAAACCACTTCTGAAGATGCAAGCCACTAGTGCTTGCGAAACGTCAAGAAGAAATTCTACCGAACGACGGCCTAAAAACCCGAAAAACCCATTAGTTGACCACTTAAAGTGTTCACTCAAAATCAGTCGTCGAAATCCTCAAAAGAATCTTCCCAAATTAAGATTGATTACTTTTTTACTACAGGTTTTCGATACCTGCTATTTTGTTGCACCAGAGGGTTTTACATTAAGTTGCGCCGTTATGTTGCATTAATCTCGCATAATTTAAGCTGCATCTTCTTCAAAAAATGCTCACAAACCTAATAAAGGCTAATATTTCCCCTGATTGTGTTGGAATGTTCGAACAAACTACGTCTAGGGTGTCAGAACAGGAAACGAACTAAACTAATCCCATTCCTAATGCTCTAAATCCTGATTACAAATTCAATATCATTCGGCATGCAGTCGGCGACAAATCCGCTCAAGTCACTCAGCAAAATCAACTGTCATATCGAATTAAGATGCTCTGAACTTTCCAAGACAGCCAAAGCAAAAGGAAAATAAACGTCGTTGTAACAGCAATTCGACTGTAATGTTGGGGCCGCGCTGCTTAATTTCAGTTTCAGTTTTGACTTTTCGAGTTGTGCATGAAAGTTGGAATTGTTCGGGGGGCCGACCTTACGTAGATTTCAGCCTCCGCAAGTTATTGAGTTTGACTTGGGGAAAGTTTCAGGACATTTTGCTAACCAGCTTTAAGCAGGTTGAGAGGCTTGTTCGTGAAAGCATCTTGCGGGGCGCGCTGTCTTTTAATAATTTTACTGGCAAAGGTTAATAGAATGAAAGTTGGCCAATAAAAAGCTGAAACAAGACCGCTCTTTGGTAACTTTCAGTATCAGGGAAAAAGCTTTTAGCCAGCTTTTAGTGTAAGAAATGAGGGTATATTGCACAGTCTAAAAGATCATCAATGGTTGTTAAATATTGTTGGGGTTTAATTTAAGGAAGAATACGATCGATGCAAAA